AAACTGTGCGATATATATTCAGGCAATTATTAATATTGAATAAAGTTTCAACAACACTGCACATAAAAGAGCCTGCATATTCTTTTATGATTTAATGTCGCGAGAAAAATATATAGGAGGATGAAACATAATTCGAACCTACGCGTATATAGCAATATTTCTGCGCTGAATTCAGTCTTTCGTTAAATCGTAAAATATGGAATTCCGCCATTAATATTAAACGTTAGGGAAAAAACGACAGATCTAATAAAGCATACGCAAACAATTGAAAATATCGTTTCAGAAGCGTCGTACGGAAGGTTCGGTCATCTCGGGAGCGATATCCGTATCAAAACGTTATTTTGCACGTGGTTTGATAGTTTTTCTGGAGTTCGATATTTCCGTTATATTTTTATGATATTCGCGCTGCGTGTCTGTTACCCCTTTTTGCCTTCCTATCTTCTCTGAAAATCGACGATCTGATTTATCTGTTTCACCGGTCACAAAGTACGATACAGCAATAAAGTGCGATATAGCAATAAAATGGTATTGATCTTTTTTGCAGTTCGCATTTTATTTTTACTTATTCGGCACGATATTTCTGTTGCTGGACTCGTATGCCGGAGTAACGAAATTGCCTCCTCCTACGAGAAGCACATATGGCGTTTGCCACCGCCATCAAGTGTATTTACCGGAGGAAGCGATGGCATTGCAGGCACGCGGCGGAGGAATGTCCTATCTCTTGGACGGCGTCGTGAGACATCACCGGAAGAACGTGATTCATTTCATAGTTGACAGATAGCGAAAAGTAACGGTAGCACCGCTAGTTAACTTTCTACTTCGACATTTTGCGCAACTATCGCGTCAACGCCGATCTTCGCGTGCTTTCAGACTAAAAGCTACCCTAATGTAGTTTAGCATTTTTCGGCCGACGTCGAAAAAAATTAGGAATCCCCCTCGCTGAAACGGTTTTTATTATTAATAGAAGCGGCTTCTCGACGAAAGAAAGTTAGATGTCAGAGCAGATATTCCAGACACGCGCGATGAGATTTATAAAGCGGACTTCAGACATTATAGATATAGACGACTCGATTAAAGAGGAGCCATTATCGTGCCAGTTCCTTTCCATCAATCTTTCCCATCATCCCTATTCCGAGATTTATTTGGGAAGAATCCTGTTATAAGAGAAAAAGACATTTCACGTCCGTTGCATGCGTCTACCCTGCTTTAATAACGAGAAAACAAAATTACGACCGAACAACAGGAAGTAAAGATATCGCTTGATTCTCTTAATTGATGCAATATTGATGTTTCTCTATTTTCTATTTATGAATTCTTTAAAATTGTTTTAGGCGCAAGTATCATTTTACCTAATAGAATTACAACTTGCAGCAAGACGCAGCGGATGGAGAAGTAATATTCGCGGTTTACGAAGGTCTTGCGGAAATTCTTGGAATGTGTCATGTTTGCGGACACACAATTGAAGAAGAAATCCGCTCGAACGCACTGAGCGGTGTAAAGACGAATGAAAAATCGGTCGTGCGTGTCATACAGGGCTTCTCCGAGGTTGTAGAACGCCATTTAAATCGACAAGAGACCCGCCCAGGCCTCTTCAAAGGATAAAAGCCGCGCGACCGAACGTATTGTCCGACAAACAAAATCATGACGACTTGCCGCGACAGCTACTTTGATCGACGACTACTTTGATCGCGGACGATAATTTTATGTCACAAGTCGAAACTCACTGAATTTCCCCGTGTGACCTCAATGAGCTCGCGTCTCGATGCGACAGCAATTGTTGAAACTGATGATGTAATTTCAATGAGCTTAAATTTTCATGTCATATACACGCGAAAAATCTTTACACTCAAGCTGTTCGCCACAACAGTGGCGCAATACATAAAAACAAGAAAGTAGCACAGTTTCGAATTTGTGGCACAAAACTTTATATCGAGATAAAAATTTTATGTGCGAGCAACGTCGCAGAAATCACTTTCCCTCTGAATAAAAAAAAAAGGTAAACTAAAGGATCAGAGATAAAATTACTCAAAAATGATGTTAATCTTTGTCTCGGAATAAGTCTCCACTAACACCGGCCATTGTTGCGCTGAGCATCTCATTTATTAGCGGTGACAAAAGAGCAGTAATCGAGGAGAATGGGATCTCTTTTACATCAGTCGTGCGGAGAATTTTATTCATCGAAACCATTTCGGTTTCACTGCTTTTGTCTCGCTAAATAAACCTGTAAGCGCATATAATTCGCTCCGCGCGAATAAAATTTCTTAGAAATAGGTCGCGATGAAAAGATTAAAGGGGATTAAAAAATTAATCCATCCCGTGTGTCTATCTGTAAAGGTGCCACTGGCACTTTGATCTCGCAAGCTCTGCTCTTCAAGTTAATCAAAATATCTTTATTACGCAATCAATAATACGCGACATGCAGAAGCGGAACACACAGGTCGGGCCGAGTGAATTTAGAAAGTTGAGTATTCGCGGCGCGTTCAGGCAGCATAAATATTGAAAATTAATATTTCCGCATAACTTACTTCTCTCATCCACGGTCGCCTACGTTCTGCGAATTCGTGATGTATCAACCAGAAATTCATTTCACAGATCGAGATTCACGTAGCTACGCCTAGTTTTGTAAACTTAATCTTAGAATGCACGAACTATGTACAGGTCCCGCAAATATTTAACATCCCCTGATATTAGTGAGGAAAACATTTATCTGAATATTCTGTTATAAAGAATGACGTTAAAATTGAAGTGCTATATTTTACATGGCACATATAAGAAATCATTAAAGTCATTTTAAATAAAAGAAACAGTTGCTTTACACTTCTCTAGCAATTGTTTTAAACGTCGGATCGAATTACACAATAATGCATATAAATCCCTTCGTCTTTGACCTGTTTTTAAAATCCTATTTGATATTTGTAGTATATTTTCAGTTACTATGAGAGTTAGTCGTTTTATATATGAGAAGTAACTCGCGCGGAATATAAAACGTTTTTCTCAAAATATTTATTTAGATGCAAAAAATAATATCACTTTGTAAAATAAAGCCCCATTCATTTCAGTTTTATGTAAAGCACTATAGAGACTAGTGCAGTATGCGATATTTATAATCATATATAGACTTATGATACTCGAGCGAATATAAAATTTTTTAAATGGAGATACAGTTTCCTTCAACACGTTTAAACGGGACGTTTCAATACCGATAAAATTAACGTCAAAAGTATTATTCATTCTTGATCCTGTCGATATAAAGCGTTAATAATTGCTAATTATAATCAACAAAAATGCATAATTCCCAATTTCAGTTAGTCTCTCAACTGCATTTGTTACGTACAGAAATGTACGTTACAAGCACAATTACAACTTTCCATAAAATGTATTCAGAAAACACCACGTGTTGGAAAATTGTGGAATCTAGGTTACGATAACGTATTTAACACGTTTCCATAATTAACGCGTGCGTCTGATGTACCACGAAAGGGAGTCTCCGGTTACGAGGACGTTTAATTGTAAGGTATAATCAAGTCTGAAAACAGATGTCTTGGTGTCGTATACGGGTTACGCGCCGACATAAATTCGACAAACGACATGCTCATTAATGATCTGTGATACGCGCGATTCACCCTCGTAGTTGAAAGTTAAAACATCGGTCCCATCCGCGAAATCACTTTGATAATGAACGTCGTACGACGTGATACAGATAGAGGTAAACCATTAGTAGGATATACGTGTTATTTTCACGCTAAAATAAAGGCAATAATACAAGCGGAAAACAACATGGTGAAACGAATAATATGACAAATCAACGGTACGTGCAGCGGAGCGATTTTAAACAATCTGTAAATAAAGCGAAGCAACACGGGAAGCAGAAGTTCGCTGCGCAAAATGAGAAACGTTCACGGAACAATAGAGCCAATTCTATTACATTGAGCACACATTTTGCCACAATCGCTGCTAATTAAAAGAATTACCTATATGGTATAAAATTATAACGTACCCATTAAAACTTTTTACTTTTTCGCGACTGTATGTGGAGGAAAAGTATTATCAATTTTTACCGCTTCTCTCGGAGATAACAAACAAAATATTTATTGCGATAACGCTGCTGCCAAGGGTCAAACTATAAACTTTGAGTGTGTATAATAAATGGGATCAATAGATGAGGTCTGTGGGCGACGGTAACACGATCGGACTGCCCTTAATGTCTTCAGAAAACGTGGGAATGTATTAAATCTAAAGAAATTCCGTGAATTTCGTGCCAAACATAGACTAAAAAGTAGTCCGCGTTGAAAGACGGAATTTTCCTCTTCTAAAATGTATTTGGCAGCCCCGAATCACTTTTCGCTCGCACAAAGATCGCGTGACAAGTTGTAAACTGCGTGAAACGCGATGTCAGAGATTTCCAGGAAAGTTTGTAAGAATTAATATAATCGTTCTCTGACGTGTTAAATGAATATCGCTAACTCCTTGATTTTCAGATGCAAGATTTTCCGGTGAACGCAGTTTCATGTATAAATTTATGATATATTTTCAACTCGCGCAGGACCTACTATTTATCACGCATGGCTGCTTCTTGAATTTACTGTCAATAACAGAGCACCGTACATAAAATCCTCCGGATAAATCGATCGTTTGATTAAAATGCATCTTTCAATATCACTTCTAACCAGGATTGCTCCGAGATATCGCTACACCGTTCAGCACAATATGCATCGAATATCTGGAATATTTCGCACGCGGCGATCAGCGAGATTCTATTGGACGGGTGGCGCAGTGTGCTCTCTCTCGAGGGGGTTGAAGTTAAGGGTTGGATGCGTGGTGGATGGGCGCGTGGTCCGATAGCGAAGATCGGAGCGCTCCGCGGTCGTCACTTGTTCACGGTCTGTCGAGTGGAGCGCTTTTCTCCCCCGTTGATGTATATTTCTCGTGGCTGTTATTCCCGAAAAACAAACGGGGCCCGTTCGCGAAAGTATCTACGAAACGATTGAAATCGATCAGTGATCGTCGTTTCTGAGGAGAACAATGAGTCAGTTAATAGCGACTCGCTCGCGCGACGTTCGATTCGATGTGTCGAGAACTAAGAGAACGATCGATTGCGTGAAGTTTCTGTGCGTTGCTTGATGGGAATTTAATGCAGCGCGGAATCATGACTCGAGAGAGGAAGGTACGAGCCTCCTTATCCAGGATCGAAACGACCTACGGTGAACGGACGATTCGATCGACGATACTGCTGACGGGGAAATGCGATCGATCGGGCTGATGAAACGCGCGAAGTATGGAATTTTCGGGCCGATATCTCGTGAAGATCGACAACATCACGGAATTGATGAACCTGAGCGAGTCCGAGTACTTGAAGACGATCTGGGGACCGAAACATCTGCCGCTGAAGCTCGTGCTACCGATCACCTTTGTCTACGTCGCGATCTTCGTCACCGGTGTGTTCGGCAACGTGGTCACCTGTATCGTCATCAGGCGAAATCCCGTCATGCAAAACGCCACCAATTATTATCTATTCAATCTAGCGGTATCCGACCTACTTCTCTTGATTCTCGGTGAGTCGAGGCTTCCTCTCTCTTCAATTAATTGCGACTTCTTCAACCCCAGATCAACAAACGCAATTTCCGAGCTCTTCCATTTTTCATTCTTTTATAAACTATACACTAATAATGCACATATTATGCAAAATATCGTATTATTTAATTAATTCCTAAGTTTTTTGCAGTCATGTTTTATTTAAAAGTTATAACTAAATATAATTGTACAATTAAATTTTTCATGCCTTCTGTAATATTTGAAAATTATATAATATTAATTTTGTTAATAAAGATATTCGTTGTCGCTTAAGATTCAGCAAATATGATAATTAAGTGAATTATTAAAATAACTTTCCTGTGACACACTTTCCATAGTCCCTGATTTAATTTCCTAATCGCAATAAATTATCAAATTGCATAATATGAATTAACTCACACAAGCTGTTTGCATGAATTACATTAAACAAGTTTATACAAACTATTTACATAAATTATAATTTGTGTAAATAGTAGGATGTCCAAAATCCCTTTTTTGTTTAAGGCTGACCAACTAATGCAAGTTATTTGTGTAAATGATTTAAATTATGTAGAAAACCAAGTTTTTATTATTTATTCCACCCAATTTTTTTACTTCTCACTGCTATTTCCCATGCGTAAATTAGCACAAATTTTTAATCGAAATAATAAAAGCTCTCGGAAAATTGCTCTCTGCTTTGAAATTTCGTGCAATTTGTGATTGGCTCAATTAGTGTAAGATATTTTCGTGAATTACAGAAATATCCTTCCGCTTGTGTGGAAATTTTCTTCTCGCGGAACAGTTCTAAGTTATATAGTGCACTCGTCGTAAGATCACCACGCTTCGCTCTGCGTCTGATTTATCTTGTCTCGTTCTACTTGACACGCAGCTAGAATAATATCTACGGAAGTGCGACTCGCTTGGTATTTCGATCCGATACGCAGTTATGAGCCAGTCTAAGCTTTAAAGTTTTCCTATCTGAGTTTTCCTCTCGCTTCTGTTGCACAGCTGTCGGAATTTCATTCGCTACAGAAGTTCGCGTGGCGTTCGTAATTCGGCTTTACGTTTTATTAAGTGCATTCTGCCATTTCCGATTAGTTAGCCGTAAGCTTCACACCGGGGCATAATAATTATTTGCCCATCCAATTAGCAGTAATCGCATTAAGTGTTTATACCGGGGGCTTTCGCAGTAACAGCTAATAAAGTGCGAAGAAAAGCGCGTACATATGTGGGTGAATTGTTAATGACAATAATGACTCACTTTGTAAACGTTACTTTGCGTTAATTCCACGACCACGTTGGAATTTAGTTTTTGTTTATCGTTAGATCCAAATTATTATATGCGTAATGAACTCGCTTTAGCCGGCGACGATTAATTTAATCAGCTATTGATATTATCACGGCCGAAACGCCGCACCTTGGGCGGCCGAAGAATAGGCACATATGTCGCTGCTCTCTGAAACAAAGTCACTGTAACCTAACTATTGTATTGTCTCTTCGCGCAGGCGATAATCATCATAATGAATCACCACGTATGCGATAATGAAGATATACAGAGCATCGCGTCCTATTCATTACGTATTAATTATACGATTGAAAGTTATGTGCCAAGGATTAATATTGCTATGTTGATATCGCGGGTGAACGTAAAAATTTAGTTAACGTGCCGCTTTTCTCGTATCTTAAATTCAATATTCTTGCATTCCGATTAATAGAAATATACACCAATTACAAATTAACACGCTATAAACAAAACACGCTAATCTAACGGAATGTAATCCGCGTTTTGAAACGTACGATATGTTCGAAAGTTCAAACGCGACATGTTTGGCTCCGTCACGTTCTGCTTTCCTCATTTTGTTAAGTTCCCTGTCCCGTGTCGTTTACGGATTCAGTACGCTTCCCTCGAGTGGGCTATCTATCACTTGCATTCCAACGATGAACGTGGCGAGTTGCAGGAATTTATGGCAAATGATCGTCGGACGTTCGCCATTAGGAGGCCGATCAGAATCGTATTTCTTTATTACCGGTCTTTTCGTCGCAATCTCTCGCAATGGGAATACTTCCCTCGTGCGTATTGAGGAGAGAAAAAAAAAACGTATACGACACTTAACAGACGATCTTAGACGTCAGCAGCAACCGATGGCATTTCCTTCACGCGGTGAATTAATCGGATCTGTAATCTTCGAAACGCCTCTGTTTTCTCTTCGACGTTTCCCTGACGCGCGCGGTCTTAAATAGTTCATCTATCAGGATTACGAGCAGCATCTGCCAGTAATTAATGAACAGCCCAGATATTAATTTACATGGTATCGATCGTCGATGAATAAATAATCATAATCCGCTATTAATATAAAGTAAATGTTAATTGGAGAACGCTGTTTTCTAACCAACATAACGAGAAACGCCAATGTGAAGTTATTATCCTCAGTAAATTCATATGCTCAAATCGATAAACGATTTGTAATTGTATTTTAAGTGCTGCATTTAGCATTCAATACCCCCCTTCCCCGTACGGTAAATTATTCTTATTGCGAAAACTATTACCTCAGCCAGAATTCCGTGACGGGCGTCTTAGCCAACTCGTGATAATACTCCTCGCAATAATCGGTATAACACTTGAAGGAACGCTCACTCGCAGGACACAGCGCGTATAAACAATAGAGTTAAAACAAGACCCCTAAATAAAACTGAACAGCACAACGAGAAAAGTTTCTCGTTGTGATGTTTAGTTTTATTTAGGGGTCTTGTTTTAACTCTATTGTTTATAAAGACTGTTTTCATTCCTACAATCATTTAACTCTAAAATAAATGTGAAAACAAGAATGTCTCGTTTTAATGCTGTGTACAAAGGAGTACTTTGTTCTCTATTTCCATTTTTTCTAACTTATTAACTAAGGTATTCATAGCAGATCTTATACTCCAGATCGTCTTGAATTTATCTAAAGATGCTGTATGGAACATTTCATTACGGAGTATCTAAAGATAATCTTAAGACGATCTTAAATATGAGATCTGATTGCAAATACCGTCGTAGATAGCTGTGTCGTGCCATCGTATCGATATTTGTTAGAATGTAAAATCGGAATCTCATCTGTCAGCCTCATGATATACAAATATGATGATATATAATAAAGATTGTGTGAAAAGTGTCCGCTGATATTATAGAACAACTGTACATAAAACAGAAACGCGTAAAAATGATAGCATCAAATTATTCTCTAACTCCGGATTCCCGATCACTGTTGACAGTGTAATGTTTCTGTTCGCTTTGCTGTATAATCCGATACTTTTATAGTAGTTTATAAACTGGGATATATATAACACTTCCGAATAATACAACGGATCCTGTGTCTGTCAGGTTTACAAAAGTGATTAACGATCGAGCATCCACATATTGCGGAACCATTATTTTATGTTACATAAATACACGCGCAAATGCTCGGTCAATTTTATTTTCCCCTCGCAAATCCAATTTTTGAATACGTGATAAACGATTTTTCCAGAGATTTTATTATATAAATTCCGAAATCCCTTTAGGGATTGACAACGAGTGGAGACTTCACCAATTAGATTAAAAGACTAATTATGATTTAAAAGACTAATTAACCGAGACGAAGATAAACGAATATGCAGGCTCGTCGTCGCTTAATGAATATTCCAATGCAATGAATAACATTATTGTCGACTTTCGCAGCTTTCCGAGTCTTAAAATAGGCATATCGAACGATTCCTTTTTTAACATACAATCGTCGATATTTCTGCCTTATAATTAACATGGCGTAACGTCTGTCAGAAATAAAATACGATGAAAGTTCGCAGATAAGAAACATAGATAATCTAGTATTTTGCAATCAAAGTCACGCAACCGATATTGAGCATAAACCCATCGCGTCCTTCGTTTTTTCCCCGTCCTTCTCGTGTGCCGAGCATTCTCTCCCGATAGATAGCAGTTGCTTGAAGTTTCAAACACTGCACGCCCTTAATGCAACCGGCGTATCTCGCGACTATCTGGCCTTATTTGATATGCCACTTGCCTTCGTACTTAATGAATTTCGGAAATGAGAGACTAATGCAAGCCAATGAATAACGTCAACACCTTCGCGCGACATAGATATCTCGAATCGAGTGAAAATTATTTTAACACTCCTCGCGATCGTAGCACTTTGGACCGGCATAAAACCCCATATTTTTCTCTTTGAAATCTTTTCGCTCGTAGAAGTATAAAGGCTCATACACAAATAATAAGCTAATTGAAATTTCCATTGAATACTGTGCAAGAATACACTCCATAATCCTCACGATCTGCTGAATAAACGAAGTTGAAGCTGCGAAACTTTTTTAATGATTCCCGGGTGATAGTAGAGTTAAAACGATATCCTCGGATAAGCTCGCTATCGCGGAGATTAAGACTCCGGTTATGCTTAATCTGCGTACATCCTTGTGCGCCTTAGGGAGACTGCCGAGTACCGCGGTAAGTCGCCTCGCAGCGAGGAAAAGCAGCGAGTGAAAAACGACGTCCCGGAAAGTGCCGTTTCTCATTTAAATGCAAGAAGCTCGCCCGTGCGAACACGTATATGTGTTCCGAATATCTATGGTCTAGCGATAACCCGGTATAACTCTCGGTAGAGATTGGCTAACGTACAGGATGTCTCGGATTACCGGCGTATGCTGCCCTCGCAGGAATAATACTTCTTAGTTGATTTATTAAAGCCCAGTTCGTAAAAATGATTTTATTTTCAGCGGCTCTTAACTCAAGAGCCAATTCTGCCTCTCGATATCTCTATAGTTAAAAGGATCTTCGTCGAATCCGGGTATATATTTCGCCCTGTATATTGCGTTTCGACGTTCCCCTTCGTCGATCACATATCAGATTGCCAAGAAAAATACGAGAACTTCGTATCTAATAAGCTACTGCCCCCCCCCCCCCTGAGAAAAAACTTCAGTTTTACGATGAAACGTTGATGTAGCCCGACGGATCTTCTCCGGTTACTACAACATTATGTATCTTACGTAATAAGAGAATACTCAGGATTAAAGAAATTAATTGAAAATTTAATTAAACGGTGCAAAAGAAGGAGATTTATCTTGGGCGTGCAGAAACGCGCAAGTACAATGAACGAGTCTGTAGATTGTTTTATCATTTCTTTCTGCGTATTTTCTCCAGAGCAATAAAAAGAATGTGAAGCGGAACTGACAAGCAACGAGCTTTTATCAGGTTTATGTGGAGAGTTTCAAATTCACGTGGAAGGTTTCAAATTTACGGGGAGAACTACGTTGTCTACACAACTGAGCTCTCAATTGTGAACTTTAAACTTCTCAAATACGAATCTTCCGATATCCTCGTTAATGATGAACTAATAAGGGCCCATCATTGAGCCTAGTGAAAGCCAATGTCTATGCGGGAACACGTTCTGTCGCGTGATTTGAGGATTCGTCACGTACTCGATATTAACCGCGGGTTAATGGGTTTTGTGATCTCCGAAGTCGGTTGAAATGGACGACTCCGCCGCGGCTAATGCAATTCCGCCGGGCCTTCGATTAATTACGATTTACGGTTTGTATCGATGTTCGATTGCGCCCGCAAGGATCCCAAGTGATGGAACGAAACTTGATAAAACCAACACCCTCGTAAACGATCTATACGAACAACGTGCATCGAGGTTATTTCGTTTTTTTGTCTATTTTTTTTCCTATTTCTCGTCAGCAATAAATTTAATAGAATCCCTTGCTAAAGTATATGTGTGTGAACCTATAAAAAGTTAATATCTATAAAAGATAAAGTGCAGTAAAGTGAATGCGAGTGAAAAATAAAGTGAGCGACGCGCAAGTAAATATGCCGGAATGCAGAAGGTTCGAAATAGTTTGAGGATTTGGATGGAATTAATTAAAAAGTAATGATTTTAGAGCGTGATATTACTGAGCTAAAAATTTCGAGAATTTTAAATTGCAAAAGATTTCCGATATTCTAGAATAATAATTGCAGAATCGTTTGATATTGCGATTTGTATAATTTGCTTTATACAATCTATACTTTATATATTACATTACATTATACATTACATATTAAGAAAAATACCTTCGATAAAAGATAAGGATCTTTCGTGATATGCTGGACGAAGACTATATCAATCGTGAAAAATGCGACGCGAATACCTATTGATATTATGCGCATAGATACTTTTGACCGAATACGGTATATTGGGATTTGACCGTAGCTTTAGTGGCACGGCATTAACGCCGGCCGCGAGAAGCTAAAGCTTTCACCATTGAATTGTGTCATTATTTTACGACGACAGATGCGCTTTAGCGACATCCGATACGAGGCAGTGAGATAAATCGTTAACACTTTGAGTGCCGTGTCATCAATATCTAAATGACGCGTAAATTTCCGGAAAGGCTCCGTTATCCGTTTATGAGTGACAGTCTTTGCCGCTTTATAAGAATAATTGTATTAAATATTTAAGATATTAAAAAAAGTAATAGAACATTAAAATATTATATTAGGTATGTTAAACTCAATGTCTAAATCAGCTTGGCACTTAAAGTGTTAAATAAAACATCGCTTTTACGCTGTCTCTTGCATGATTCATGAAGGTGTTTTATCTTTGGAATAGTCTATCGGAAACAACGCACAAAACGAATAAGAAATAGAACTAACAGCGTCAGACGATGCATATTAAACGGATATTATGACTTCATGTTGTAACGATTTATTTGTTGCTATAAAGGCGAAGCTTACCAAATAAGCGGTAAATTCTTCCTACGATAAATCTTTTGGCATATACGTATATTAATCGGTCATATCAGATTGTTGTATAAAAATTGTTGGTTTTATAGCAATAATTTTCTGACGTAATCTCCAGGACAACAAAATATAAATATTATAGACTGCCTTTTTCACGGACTATTGAAAATAGATATGCAAGTAATTCTTTTTTGAAATTTATTTGCATCTTTTATAGACTAAACGGAATACTTGTTATCACGAAGATTTCTTTGTTTAATAATAACATTTTTTTATATAAATGGATTTTCTTTACTATTTTGTAAAAGTATCCAAATCCTGACATCATCAAAAAGTGAGAATTTATGGTATATACATTTCATACTTTACTGAAACGTACATAAAATATGAAATGTCCAGTGCAATATTTATTTTCTAATAATTATATGTTAGTTTATTTCATTTAAAATAGTCAAGAAAGTCAGTTCCTAAAATTGTTTGAACCAAATTCTATCAATTAACTAAATTAGAAGAGCTAACGATCTAAAGATATGGAACGCCAACTTTAATAGATCCTCAACTTCTTCATAAGATAATGATTAATTTTCGTCATTATTTTCTCTTCTTCCTTAATTAAAGTTCATATTTTAGACCGATTCCACGATATCACACTAGGTAGAAAAATAATGAAAAGTATTATTTATGACTTGCAAGTTGCAAACATTTCGCAAAAATTGGAGTACATTTTTTTTTAATTATATGCCCCAATTTTTACGAAATGTAAAAAATTATGACATTGTAACATAATGTAACAAGTAAATGTAAGGGAAAATATTCATTTTCATTTTACATGTGGAACAACCGGATATAATAAACGATGCGAATCAGTTGCGTTCCATGGTTGGCAAGCGTAAAAAAAAATATATAAGAAGCATTTGCATGCGCGGTGTCCCCGGACACAAATAACGCGTAGCGAGTCATGAAATAATTTGCGGTGACAGGTAATTTCTGCACCGCTTGTAAACACAATTAATACCGGAATCTCATTCGGTTGTTATCACGCAAGAGAAAAAATGTAGCTCAAGGTTCTTAACTGTCATGTGGGGTACCACTTTTTTATTTTCTGTCGTAACTAAAAGTAATGTATGCACTAAAATAAATTTGATCAACTTTAAATTATTACACCTATACACATAAACACGCGATCTCTATTCCGTGTCTTTTATATCATGGAACTTTCACTCGTTATAAAATAGATGTAATTATTATGAAAACTCCCGTGCGCGGAAAGAAAGTTTCGAAAGTTTCTCTTATATAAAGAAAGTAAAGTTACTGTGTAGCCGTAAATTTCAATAACGAACATTGATTTATAGCAAATCATTGAAGCGCAAATTGTAACGCGAGTTATGCTCCGCTTTGTAATTAGTGATTGGTCGCGAAAGGCTCTCTGCATAAATTATATCGTGACAAATAAATCTCTGATTCGCCCTGTGTCTTTTCGTTTACGCGTGTTCGTTGCAATTCATTTACAATTATACCTGTGTGTTAGCTTTTAATAAAGAATCTAATATTACTCCAAAGGTTTGCTTTTACGTCGCTTGACACTTTTCTATTTGGAAATTGCGGACATTTCACGTCCTTTGTGTATCAATGAAGATAATTAATGATCCCAGAGAAAAGTGCATAAAGCAACGTTTAAGGACTTCTGCAAGTAATTATTTCGTAGACATTTTGTGTCTTTATAAAAATAACACCTTGCAAAATAATGGCATGGCGATAACAGACGTAGATTATATACTATACAATTCTCCTTTTCAAAGCATTCCTTCTTTTTAAATCCGTATTTACGGACTTGTATATCGTGATATAACAATCGACCTATATAGAAAGTAATATTTTCTTTGCTTCTAGGACTGCCCAACGAATTAAGCGTGTTTTGGCAGCAGTATCCATGGACACTTGGAGTGGGTTTGTGCAAAATACGAGCGTACGTTTCAGAAATGTAAGTTGAAATAATAAGAAAACATCGAGATGAAAAAATAAAGAAGTAAACAGCTTGATTGCAAATGTTATAATTCCTTTATATTATTTCTAATATGATGTAGCTGATAATTTATATTTTATTACACGCAATAAGAAGAATAGCAAAGAAAGACAATTTTCACAAAACTAAGCAGCAAATGCATAGATAAATTTTGTTAACCTTTTTACAAAATAAATTATATCCCAGGGTAAATTTCAGATAATTGAGCTTAAAAACATAGAGGATGCGAAAGGAGTGCACATGCTAAAGTATATAACTGTACATTAGCTTATACAGTATATAATTGTAAATTAACTTACTACACAAAGTCTTAAAGCTCTTAGCAGTTACGTGAAACGCGTTTGATTATTTTGTATTCAAGTGTGTTTTCGAGATCTCCCATGTTACAACATTAAGGGGTGGAGAGTTTCTGCACTTTTCTAACTTAAAAACTGTCAGTTCACGGAAACATTTGTGTAATATACAAATTAAATGGCTTACGTGTACAGATCGAAAGCAGCTTGCTATTGCGGCTAAATTAAAGAACAATATGGCATCACTGAAACTAAGTTTGTAAGTCTAATAAGAAATAATAGTGAGCAACACACACACACATACAGTACATGTAGAATGTGTGTTGCTCACTATTATTTCTTATTAGACTTACAAACTTAGTTTCAGTGATGCCATATTGTTCTTTAATTTAGCCGGAATAGC